CACCACTCTTATATGTTTTCATATTATTTTACAAGTTACAATCAATGAGGGGGAAGTGCCATGAAACTTCCAGAAAGGATAAAAAAGAAGTCAAGCAAAGAAAATAATTTTCTGAAGACAGAAAAGTTCCCAAGAAGAAATCAGAAAGTCAGAATCACCAAGGAAAAGAACCAGGGGCTTGGACCCAGGCTTGCCGCGGCCACGCGGCCACCCAACATGGCCAGTCCCTTGGTCATGCCAGCATGTTGCGTCGGGCTCATAGGATGCACCTCCCCCTCTCGCACCCTTGATATTATTTTTACTTAACCCTAGACCTAATTAAGTAGGATTTTTTGCGCTATCGGAGCATGGCATAAAATGGATGGGAGCTATTTTCTTTCCAGGCAGGCTGATTTTGTTGAGATTCATCCCCTTCGGGTGGGGTAATGTTAAGCCATCCTCATCACCAACACTAAATCCACTGTGAGGATCGTCTCGATCCACTCCATCTTACCAATACCATCTTCATTACCATCACCTTCTCCATCCCCTTTTTGATCTATGAATTATTAACTCAAATCTATTTCAAAAATCACTTCCCGTTGTTGATTGTTATCTAGTAGTTGATGCTTTGTGGTTTATTGGGAGGAAGGGGAAGACAACTCATAGGAAGAAGGGGTCTTAATGTTTTTATTTCCTGCTTCCTAGCTTTTCGACTGTTACACAATATATATAATTTACACCTCACTGGGCCACACAAGTAACCCTGGCCCAAGGCCCAACCTAGCAACACAATACACTCAAATTTGTCGTAACCCAGCTTCTAACTGTGCGTCCTAAAATCTAGAGTTCGGTCGTCCCAGATTGGTGGGATCCAAGTTGCACCCTCGATGCCGCCGGTTAATCAACTTTTTTGTAGATGATATCATGTTGTTTTTCAAGGCTAGTGGTGCTGGAGCAACTGAGGTATCAAACTTTTTGGGAACCTACTATCAAGCTTCTGGTCAACATATCAATGTTGGTAAATCTTATATATTCTTTAGCAAAGGATGACCAATTGTGATTAAAGAGGAGGTCAAGACCTTACTAGAAGTTCAATGAAAAGTATCTTGGCATGCCTTCTGATGTAGGTATGTTGGCGCTTTTAAATATTTGAAGGATATATTATGGAGCAAGGTGAAAGGATGGATTGAGAAACTTTTTTCTTCTGCTAGCAAGGAAGTCTTGATTAAATGTGTAGTAGTTGTCCCAGTTTATTCTGTTTCATACTCAAGTTGCCAAGAGGATTCTGTGAGCATTTAAACAAACTTATTAGGCAGTTTTGGTGGGGAAGTAAAGCAGGAGATCATAAGCCGGCGTGGGTGTCATGGAAAACTATGAGCAAACCAAAATACATGGGAGGCCCTGGTTTTAGAGATTTTGAGCTCTTTAATTTGTCGCTGCTGGCAGGGCCGGCCCTGAGGGGGGACAGGGGGGGCGGCCGCCCAGGGCCCCCAAGATCTAGGGGCCCCCTTCCAGTTGTGATGTTACGTATAAGGTGAACTAGCCCATGGGCCATGGCTTCTCGTGAAAAAAAGGAAGTAGCCCACGTCCAGGAAGGAAAGGACGGCAGGTAATCAACGTACGGACGTAAATCACGTCAATCAGCAAACGATCGTGAGGGAAAAATGGATCAGCATTACGCACCTAAATCACGTCGTCCCCTTCTCTTTATTCCTTATATGATCGTGAGTCAGTGTTGTGATAAAAAAACGATCATGCGCCGTGAGTTCATCCCTAATTTCCAATTATCTGTTCCCTGGTTTCAAACTCCAGACCCAAATCGCAGATCTGTTCCCTGGTTCCAAACTACAAATCCCAGGTCGCAGAGGGCTGGTTGCTCTCCTGGTGTCCTACGCAGCGGCGACGCAGCACAATCGTCGCCTAGCCCCTAAAAATTGGCATTGCCGGAGTGGGCGCACACGTACATCACCGAGCACCTGCTACCATATTATCCACATCATCGCCGAGCGTCGCTGATCTATCAATCCGAGGTATATCATTTTACTATTCCCTTTTCTAAAAAAAAGTAAAACTTTATGCTATGAGGAAGAAGCAATTTGATAAATATAGTTGCCCAAGAAGAAATTCTAGAAGCAGCTGAGAAAGATTTTCATGTTAAACACTTGTTTGTTTTGGTTGATATGAAAAGAATTAAAGGGTTTTAAATAAGTCACGGTGTTTAAAGATTTATGCAGATTTACTGTGCATATGATTGTTGCAACAGCTAAAAGAAGCTTGTCAAACTTGAAATTATTGAAGAACCATTTGGCATAAAGAGTGACCCAACATAGCTTAATTGGTTAGGCTGACATTATGCAGCGAGAAGAAAGATGAGATTGACATCGACATAATCATAAGTCCCTATGCACTAGTAACAATGAGGATTTTTGGGCCTGAAACTTTGAGAAGAAAGGTATTTTTTAGTCAAATCTTCATATAGGATGTTGGTTTCCACTGAAAGGAGGCAGGAAGATTGGCTAAAGGGCTGCTCGAGCTCTAGCAACCCAGGAGGCGAAGTTAAAGAATGGTCTAAGTTGTGGAATGTTGATGTTCCAGCAAAGCTTCACACCTTCCTTTGGCATCTTGCAAAATACTCGCTGCCAAGTGAGGATGTTCGTCGCCAAAGAAAATGAGCAATTCTGGTACATGCTAAATGTGTCACCTTTTGATGCATGACGTCATTCTTTGATTGAATGCTCCCTGACAAGGTGTCTTTGGTCTTTGGTTGATGAGGAATTAGCCGAGCACATGGCCATGTCTGAGCCAATGTTCACATTGTTTGAATCCTTATCACATGGATGCGTGATTAAACTAGTCGTGACCCTTTGGGCAATATGGCATGCGAGGAGGAATGCAATCAATGAACGAAATTGCTCCTCACACGATGATTTTGCCCGATCTATGCACGACCTGGAAATCCAGCGGCCCGTACCCTACTCATTCATGCGCATGTCCGGCTGGATGTATGTGTCGTCTGTGAATCATCTGGATTCTATCGTCCGCATAGCACTGCTGATCAATGAAAAGGTATTTTTCAGAGCCCTCTGTCTACTCACCTTTTTCTTGAGATGTATATTGCTGAGCTAGAAGAGCTAAAGCGTCCCAAAAAGGTGGCTCCTGCACCGCCAAGACCTGTTCAGCGCCATATGACATGGCAGTCTCCCCCGACGGATGTGGCTAAGATAGATGTTGATGGTGGCCTATTGTACAGAGCTTTTTTACGGTATCCGGGTACTCCCTCCAGCAGAGATGGAGTACCACTTAAATCTGACCTTCCACTTATAAGGGCAGTTTAGTCTTTTCAACTCTTAATTAGGTCCTTCTCTGATTTCTAATCAGATCACCACCGCAGCCACCATCACATTAGCGCTGTTATATGTCTTCATGACACCGCGCCATTGCTTCCTTGCACTCATCGAGAGCGAGTGGATAATAGTTAACGATCAGACTAAAAGTTCTGGAAATCCACACAAAAATCTCTAACATGTACAAAGGAAATTAAAACACAGATATACACTGTTGTGGAATACACGCAAGAGATCAGGCTCGCAAGAAGTTCATCACTTAATCAGCCCGCAAGAGATATCAGGCTGGAGAGCTGGCGTGATAGATCTCCACCCAGCTTGAGTATCCCCGCCTCGCCCTAGTCACCATCCTGCTTCAGCGCGGGCGAGTTTCCAGAATTCCAGTTGCGCGAAAAAGATGGCTCTCGCAAACGCACCCGTAGCGGTGGTGGCGGCTCCGCCGCCCAGCCCTGGTCATCGACCATTCTCACTTTCCAGTCCATGCCATTCCGGCAAGCCCATGGCCCAGAGGCCTTCTATCTCTTGTACGCGCGCAGACCACAGTGGCCGCCGGCGCCTATCTTATTGAAGAATTAGGTTTTTTTAGGAGATGAATTAGGGTTTCAGCGATCGAGTCAAATCTGTATCAGCCATGATGCGCCGATGGGAGAATGATAATAAAAATCAGTTTACCTTTTTACCCCCCAAGCACACGGTACTCCCTCACTTTTTTAGTAGGTACTCCCTCATGCACACTTTGGAGTACCAATGGACATCCACCGTTGGATCAAGAGAAATGGAGGGCTCATATTCATTTAGGGGTACTGTAAAGG